TGCAAAACAAAACTCAGCCAAAATAACACGTTGCTGCCAGAGTTCCACCCAGCACTGTCAATGAGCACAAACTCATTCACCCAACATCCTCGCCCTGCTTTGTTACAAAACCACCAGGTCCGGGTTAGGATAGTATTACAGCACCCTCCCTGCTATAAAAGATGAGCCCTACCTTGCCCCAAAGCTCCCAACATACGGATCCCCTTGACCTGAGCCTGAATTCTGCAGCTCAGTCCTGCCCAGCTGAAATCCAAGGGAAGCAGCACCACTGCAGAACCAAATACTGTCATCAGCAGTCCCTACAATCTGCCAGGCTGCTCCTTCCAACTCCACAAGGACTCGGGAAGTGCTTCCAGCTGAGTCTGCATGGCATGAGGGGTTCAGACTTTCAAGAGAGAATGAGCAAAATTCCTTGGAAAGATGATTTTGAACTTAATCTGTCAGTAGCATCAAGTCTTCAGGACAGAAGGGCCAGCAAGAGATCCTTGTAACAACAAGGTGTGTATTAATCTAGTGAGAGCACATAACCTGCTATAGAAAGAGAAGAAGAGAGAATACAAAACAAAGTGCTCAAGAATCTTCTAAAATGGCTGAGAAAAGCAAATGCAGAATTTGTCTTCCTTGCTGAAGACTGAAGAACTGGCCTAGTGTCCCTTTTGGCTGTTGAAAATAAGCTATAACGGAGACTAGTGATTCCTCATCTAAAACAGAATGAAATACCACCTGGTAGGATCACAGTTTACCTGCACTCAGAATCTACAGCATCTTAAGGCAAAGTTCAGTGAGAGGCATGGCACCTGCTGCTGTTGTCTTCTGACTGCAGAACTCCATGGGAGCTGGACAGACTCTCTTACACCAGCACAAGCTGGGAGTGATCAGCTGCTCAGCAGGCACCTGAGCAGCACTTTTTTTCCAGCTCCTACTGATCTGCTGACCTATTTTAACTCCCATGCATAAAATAAAATATAACCTTGCTCCTCTATCTAGAATAGTTGCTGACCCTGGTCAAAGCAATTCTGTGGAATTCAGAACCTGCTAACTGCAACACTATAGGGGCAATACTTGGGGCTCAGCTATGCTTACTCTAAGGAAAGTCCTAGGAAATGAATGGCAGTTACAGAATGCTAGTGACAAAGCATGCATCCTCACCTACACATAAGCATCTCCAGTCCTTTGTACCCTGTGCTGCCACATGCACTCAGCAAAATGGAAGCAAAACTTGCATGCTGGGAGTTGTGGCATATGTGCCAAACTGGGGTGTGGGACACAAGGATTATACTCAATGATCACTGCATTGCTTGTGGCAGGAGAACCCAGACTTGTGTTCCTCGACTACAAAAGGACAAAGGCACTTCATAAGTTCAGTTTATGCCAGAGCTGTGCTTACTGACCATGAAGGTAACAGAATACACCCCAATCAATATTAAAAGCTTTTGTAAAGGCACCAGCTGTTCACCACTGCTCTTAAACTTCGTGCTGTAGAGCTTAAATTAACTTTAAGATACTGTCAGGAGAAAAACCACCCCCTATATGACACAGAAGGAGGCTGATTTTTGCAAAATTCTCTCACTTTTCTTTAGACCCAAAATACTCAGATATTAGCATAATCTCTGTGCCAGCACCTGAGTTTACTGCCTCTTCCAATAACAGCGATTTGCTAAGTTGCTGAGAGTAAAAAAGGAGATATGAGTGCAGTAAAGAAGGGAACTTGTAAAAGCAGAAAATTCAAACTATGATCTCTCTCTCTCCATCTCAGTATTTTCTTGCAATGCTTTTTCCTGTACCCTAAGTGCTAAAGACAAATGAATATCAAATCAGACTACCCACAGCTGATCTTCTGTTCTCCAGGAACACAGAACTACAGAGCCAAATGAAGCAACATGTCTTCCAGTAGACAAGCCTGGGCATTCACAGAAACTAAGTCCCAGCAGTTCTGTCCAATGTATTTGCTGTGTGTGTCACTAGTAAGCAAAAATCCAGCCCAAAACACCAGGCTGAGGAGAAATTTGGATTCTAACTTAGCCAGCTGGCTGGAATTATTAACCAGTTACATTTGTAACTATGAAAGCTGATGAGAGAGTAATCATATTTCACAGTTCACAGCCGAGAGTAATTTCCTTTAGGAGTTAATGATGGTTTAAATTTCCCCTTCTTTTTGATTTCTCTCCAATAAACTGTGACTGTCACAGAGTTTTGAAGGCCTTACTTTAAGTTTTCAAAGGGCAACACTTTGGTACAGGTGTATTGAGAGGAAAAGTGCTTGAACCTCTCCAAGGGGAAGAAGAGAAAATCTGATCTTCCCTCATCCCTCCACTCCCAAACACACAAACATTTCTTGTCACAGCAAAGAAACAGCAACTGGATGACTAAGCAATGATAATGACTTCTGCTCAGTGCACTGCTGGGCTCTGATTCGATTCTTCTTGGCCTCTAACCAGATTTAAAAAAAAAAGTGAAAAACAAAATGCCAAAGAAAACACATTGGCCGTTTAGAAAAGGCAGGACTGATCCTAATAGGATGAGTACAGTGCTCAGTTAAGATGCTCCAGGGTCATTGTCTCTGTCCAGAAAGACCAGATCCTTCACTTCAGTGACTTGGAATGAAGTAAACAAAGACATTGCCCATCAGGCCACGAGCAGCTCCCACGGCCCTTTGCATCAAAAGTTCCATAGCCCAAAAATACAGCTAAACAGGCCTTGGGGAACATCCACCTCTGGAAAGTCCGGGGGTGTTGAAATTTTCACATCCTAAACTAACTGCCCTGTGCCAAACAGGCAGGAGCTATGAATGTATGAGCAGATTGGGAAGACATTAAGGGAAACGTTTGAAACACAGACCCTTCCAGAATCTCTGCCTCATCGATGCTCCATCTGTTCCCAAAAATTCAATGGAAAAAATGAAAACTCCATTTTCCTGATTTCTTTAAACTCACTGTTACTGCTCTGGTTTCTGGCACAGTGCTGCATCATTAAACTTCTATTACAGTCTCTGATGGGCAGAGCCAGTGTGGAGGTGGTGTGACCAACCAGCTGGAACCAAAATTACATTCTGGGCAACACCTTCCTCTAGAAGACATTCTGCTCTGAGCCATAGGAAAGTTGTGAAAGAAAACTTGTTACACCTTACAGCAAGCAGTTTGTCAGAATAACATTCAGCACCCACTCGAAGCAACAAACTGCAGAACTGAGTAAGGCAGCAGCGATTGACCAGCAGGTTCTGGGAAATCTGGCCATCAGTAAGAATATCTTTAGAGCAATTCTCCAACACATTCTCTGTGTGTACACTAAGGGCACTTGTTCTCAGTTATTGAGCCTTGGACCTACTGCAGCATTTTCCACGCTTTGACTCCCTTACCTATGACAACAAATGATTCAGTCAATATATATCCACTGTGCTTTCACAGATTAACTTTGTTTCCTGGTGCATTGGCTAGATATTTTCCTTCCCCTTCTGTGCCTTTGGTCCATCTTGACAGGCCTGGAACTGTTTGGCATTGCAGATCAATGCATACTGCATTGATGTATTATGCATTTTTCTCTCATATAAAAAAGTTAATGTAAAAAGGGCCATTTAGGGCTCCACCTAAGCTAGAATAAGTTGTTCTCCTTCAAACTCCCATATGGGCTACTCAGGCCCTGGTACTCAATGCTATGAACTCCCTGAAGAACAGATGTGCTATGCCTTGATGCCACACGACAGCCAGTAGGACTGAGCAGGCATCATGAATAAGGGAAGAAAGAAATGCAGATGTCATCACTTGACTGATGACACAGGTCAGCCATAGCACAAGCATGAGGCACAGTGACTCCCAGGCATGCCTCTGAGAATCAAGGCTTCTTGGAGATGCTCTTTCTCCAGATCAATGACTGACTGCGTATTTCTGCCTGGAAGAGAACCAAGTATCACATTCTCTTCCTTCTAAAGCAGTCAAACTGAGGGGAGGGAGCTTCCATCCCTTTTGCAGCCAAAGTACAGGCTCATAATTAGGCTGGGTGTAAAACAGCCCATTGTTCCAGTTCAACAGTGGGGTCAATGTGATTTTGCTCATAAGGAAGTAGTAGGAGAATGACACAAAATTTGGCTTGATACATCCCAAAAGTTTCTCCAGCTTCGTCTCCAACAGCTTGAACTTTAATTCCTTAGAGAGAAGTAATTCATAAAAGACAGCACCATCAGCTAACAACAGCCTCTGCATGTTCAGCATACAAGAGACTGATGCAGCCTCATTGGAACAGTTGTTATCCCCAAAGGAGATGAACTTAAGCAACCCTTGAGAATCATAATGCCATATGGATGTGACTCTGGCATAGAGACAAACCCCAGATAAAGAAAGAAGCACCCAAAAAGAATTCTATGTGCCATTTCTGTAAAGCCAGAAATTCAGTCTTTGGTAACTGCTGTTTTGACCTCTGCCTTCCTGATCACAAACAGGCTCCCTAGAACAGTTGTCCTAAGGAGAAATTCCAAAATCCCACTACCTCCATCTGTTTCTAACCTGGAATAAGGCACAGAATATTTACTAGCACTAGCATCAAAATAAAGATAAAAGGATGTCACAAATGCAGATAATAAACAAGGAGGATGCAACAAATGCACATAGTAAATATTATGTCACAAACACAGATAGGAACACATCTGATGGTGGCAAAGGTGAATTTAATTCTTTCTGGGACTACTATGTTTTATCTAATGCATTCATGAGTCACCACAAAAGCAGTGTTTGGAGATTGTCTTTCAAGAACTGGAGCTTTTGACTGGCTCACATACCAAACAAAGGCTCAGTAATACAGTGGTACTCTTTCCATCATATAGCTTTCTGCTGCACAACCAAGGTGGGCTGCTGCTAGGATGAAAACTCCTTCACTGCAAGTGATAGAGACAAAAGTGATTTTGGTGCCTCAAGTCAGGATAAGGTCTCCCAGTGTAATTTTGGTGCCTCAAGTCAGGATAAAGTCACTCAGTAATATGCTCCTTCCCCTCACTTTCAGGCTACTCACACCAGTCAGCTGGATGAACTTTCAGGCCCAGCCTAGGACAGGATCTTCTGACAACAACTTGTACTCTGTCTTCTCTTCACATGCAACTGCTACATAACAGCTCATACCTGCAGAAGTCAAAGAGAAAGAAAATGCTTAGTGCCATTAGTCCTGCCATTGAACACATCTACAGAGAGGGCTGTACCAAAGCAATAAGTCATTCATTGAAATAATGCTACTTTTAGATGAAACAATTACCTCTGCTTACCATGCAGGAAGCATAGCATAGTTAGTATAAACATCAGCCTGCCCAGATCCTCATCCTAGCATCCTCTGTGTGAGAACCAGTATTTATGGTTGTCTCCAGGGAAGGCTGAAACCACATCCGTTTTCCTGCATTTCTGTTAGAGATTCCCCCTCAAGCAGCAAGGAAAGCTGAATAGCACAAATATTCACCCCTCCTTCCAACCTACAGTCTGTTTACCAATGTAAATTGCTGTTGATTTCAGCTTCGTTTAGTATACTAGGTTGCAAAACACAAAAAGAAGTAAACACACATCTATGCTGCTATCTCTGATGTGTGAATAGGTTTGTCTGAAACAGAGCCTGGGCTGGGAACAAGGGGAATCAACAACCATGAAATGTGACTCCCCACTGCCAGGAATAAAGAAGGAAGGGTAGGTAGTAAATGTAAATTAAGAAACATACACATTAGGTTGTCTTCAGACAAATTCCTTAGTTAGATACAGCTAGACAGACACAGAGGCAGAATTCACACAGAAAACTTTAATGTTTTTTTTGCATGCACTGATAGTTACTAAATGAAGTTATTTAACTCTAGTTCAATGTAAAGTCTAAATGCTAAGTCCTGACACAGATTTGATAGGCGGCTGTGCATCTTTATTGTTTCACTCAATAACATTAACAGCAGTCTGCTGTAGTGAAATGCCTTTGCAGTTTGACTTATAAGGTAAGTATTGACACCCTTCATCTTTAATCATGTCATTCATCAGGCTGAACTAGTCAGCCAGTCACCCTGAGCTCCTGCTGTACCGAGAGGGGTTCTTCCAGAGGGCAACACAACTTTTCTCTACATTACCTTCTTCATACTTCTCTGTATTCAAGAACTTTAGGAAGAGGTTGAGGACACCAACTAGTAAAGTTTGATGCCTTTGCTGGATGACTGAACAAATCCTCACGTGTTTTATTCAATCTGAGGGGAGTGAAGTCACATTTCTTTCAACAAGCAGTGCAGGACCAGGATCTCCAAGGGCCTTGTACTACCAGCCTGTCAGCTAGTAAGCCTCACCAGTTAGATATTCTCATGGCAGCACACATGGGGCAAAAACAAGACCAATGATATGATGTTTTTACAAGCCTCAAGACTTCTTTTAACACACATGAAGACCCCAAGTAATGAGCCTAGAAGAACCATGACAGTTTTTCAATAAAACTAGAATAGTCCTAGGAAAACACAAGATGAAACAAATTAGTTTTCTGTTGAGGATGGTCTAATACTTCTCTATCTCCAGCAAGTAGAAAGGAATCAGTGAAAGGACACACATTTGAAAGGCCTATTGCTAGTACTGGAAAGAAAAATTCCTATAAAGATGTCCAGAGTATGCAGCAAGAGAGAGTTAATATTCCAGTGGCAAGGTCAAGCCCTGGTTTTCCTGCAACACAAGAAGCTGTCCTGCTGGCATTAACTGCAGTTTGTTTGCTTTCCCAACCTGCCTTGTCCTTGTGAGTTGGCAAAATGCTGGAGCTGGCCAGAGTCCCAATTACCAAAAGCTGCCCAAAGCAGAGAACTGTTATCACATGGACTGAGAGCAAGACTGAGAGGGGGAGGAGAGAGTAAATGGCACAAAACCCAACGGATAGAAACTTCTCTGGTGCTCAGAATTGCTACAAGTAAGGTTCTATCCTGGCACATAGCCAGGGAGCTCAGCAAGAGAATACAGAGGAAGGTTATGACTGGTCTGTGCCCCAGTCTAGAAGTAAGACCTAAACATTTAAACTTTCCCCTTGGAAATATGCCCCACTTTAGCTCCTGGAGGACCGTAAGAAGCTGTTTTTACTGAATAAAATCTATGCAGGACTCACAGAAAGATTCAGTTTAGAGAAAATTTATACCCATTGCTGTTGGAGTACTTCACTTTCTGTCAATGGCAGCAAAATTAGGGAGCTGAAAGTGTCAGAGAGAAAGGACACCATACCAAGAAGTTTTCAACATGTTTTAATTTTAATTCTGTTAGTAGTCAGCTGTGTTCTGGCTTTGTCTGTTTTTAAGAGTTTGATTTCCACTATAAAAGAAAAGTCTGATGAAAGTGTTTCTAATAATACAAAAGGTACTTGGATACTGCCTGCACAAGAAGCCAGTGACCAGCACCAGTGGTAACTGAGCTGCTCAGTGAGCTCCAAAAGCAACTTCCACGTGAAAACTGAATGAATGCAGCAGGTGAGCAAATCAAACAAATGGAGAGAAAACAAAACAAAAAACAACCCACAAAACCAAATTAAAATCTCACCATACTGGTAATAAGAACATTTCCCTGCAGAGTTTAGAGTTTTTCCTTCTTTTTTTTTTTCCCTTTAATTTTTATAACTAAGGGATTTTCCCTAAGTTATACAAGACACATCTTGGGTTTAAAGACAAATCACTGTGGCTTAGAGCAAACTGCAGATTGTGTAGTTCTGATGCATTGAGCAGCAGCCTCAGTCTGTCCTGGTATAAGAGGCTTTTCAGAATGACATGGGAAGGGAATAGCAGGAACACCATGGGCATGAGACAAAAGTAACAAGGTCTACAGTTTTACCAATGTTTCTGGAGGCTGTTTTATTCCATGCTAAGGACTGATACACTGGCTGACAATACTGTGGTAGTGCAGAACCAAGCTCTCTTGCTGCTTCTCCCTTTTTCAGATCAACAGCCAGGCACATCTTAAAAGACTTGGACACAGGCCACACTCAAACCACATCTCTATGGAGGAAGGAATGCTGCAAAAAGGAGAGGTGAGAAACAGGAGAAAACGTCTTGTTACAGACAGTGGCCAGGCATGATCCAGCAGGACAGATCTATGAATACACTGATGAGCCCTGATAAGGACACCTAGTCCCAACTAACCCACTGAAGACACGAACATCAGCTCAGCATGCTGCTATTCTTGCAGTAATTTTCCACACTTAACAGCCTGAGCTCACACACAACCAAGCAGACAGCACAGCTTCCAGTACTCCCTTAGGCAGCAATGGAAAACTCTCCAAGTGATCTCACACCTGAACACAACAGGAGGGCAGCACACACACACAGCCTCCAGCTCAAGAACTGGAGGTGCCAAGCAAAAGAAACATAGGAGTCTCACATTGTTTTCAAGGTAAAAGGAGAAAGGGCCTGACCCTGCTTGACTTCATCATGTTGTTTGTACAGTGCTCTGTGCTTTGGGCACTGAGCTGCAAAATCAAAGCAAGTACAATGGCAATGAAAATATAATCAAACACATCAGTGTGGGACCAGCTTTGCAATGGAAAAATAAGGAGCTGGAAACTAAGATCAACAAACAATACTCAGATCTAAAGGCCATTTAGAAAACAACAAATTCAAGCAGCTCTGTAAAACTAGTAGGGTAAAAATATTATATTTTGCCATTGTTCACATAAGAACAGACAGCCCCTTTTCAAGGAATTTAAATGGACAAGACACGTGAAGGGGAAAAAGATGCATGGATGAGTAGTGATTTGACCTGATCACACCAGAATCAGTGCCAGGAACAAACTGTGACTCCAGCTTTCCTAGCACAATGCTCTTTTCATGGTCTATACTGCCTCTAAGGCTGAAAATTGACACCCACCTTTTGAAGGCATTTTCCCTGAAAACTGCTTGTCACCATCCCACCTGCTGGAGCTTATAACTCCCTGCAGTGCTCGTAGCAGAGGAGTCCAAGTGAGCACAGAAGGCTGAATCCACCAAGTTAAACTGAACAACCAGTGACAATAAATTAAGCTGATCTATTTTCTCAATGTTGATCACACAGTGCTCACATGCACCCTTCAGCTGGCAAAGCTGCAAGTGAGGCCAACCATCAGTACTGGTAAAACAACAAGCAGCAGTGTCAAAGGGAAGACAAGGGTCCCTGTCCTCAACCTGAGCAACTCTTTGCTAAGCTGATGCTTATCCTTGGTCTCAGATATAGTTATGGCCTTCCTCTCTGGAAGTCCTAAGACTTGTCATTCAGCTCAGAAGATATATCAACAGATCTTTTGGAAATTTCTTACCTGAGCCACTCCATCACAAGAGTTCTAGCTCAATAAATACCAAAATACAACAAAAATGCCATCCTCAGCTAGTGCAGCAAAAATAAAATTCGGATAATATTTTAACTATGCCAACTAAAATTATTAATAATAGTAGTAGTAGAAATAATAATTACCATCATAATCAAACTTACTAATAAGTCATCTCTAATATCCTTGTGTTTTGGATAGTTTATTAGATTTTACAAAACAAACGGCCTATATGCTATGAATATGGACTGCTTAGGGACAGATGGCCAGAGCTCAGCCTGTCCCTATGGACTTCTGAGAATGGCTCAAAGAATATTGCTTTAGGCTAACAGAAATACTAAAGACAGCAGTGACACTGTTACTAATCTACATGCAAGGCCAAATCCTGCTAAAGCATGTCATTTTCAGTGAAGTCAACAAAAGAGGCACAAGTACGTTTCAGGGTAGATCCTGATTTCTCAAGATTGGCTTAGATTTTCTCCAATATAAAAATGAACTTTTCTGTCTGGTAGACCTTTCATCTTCGTGAGCTTATGCAAACCAGTGGCTTTCTTCACCCACTGCTCAACAAACACGACCTATATAGTATGTGACCTCCAAATGCAAATTCCTTACATGGACTACCTGGGTTCAACTCTTTTGAGAACTGCCAGCACATAACAGACTAGCTTGAGCTGCCTCCTCAGAAGAGGCTGCTGCCAAAATTCCTCTTTCAGATTTGTTCAGTCCGTGCCCACAAGACTGCTTTTACCTGTCCAAATGATCCAGCAAAATCCATTTCACCTTGTCTCCAACACAGTTCAGGCAGCACACACCACCATGGCACAGGCAGCAGGGCCAACCTGGT